GTGTGTGTGCTGTTCTAGTGACTGGTGGCGTAATCATGTAATAATTCCTTATGACTAGATTTTGTATTTAATTTTGTATATTGAAGTGGACGTGTTAAGTGCAATTTGAAAGAAGAAATATAAAATATGTTAAAAATACATTTTTGTATTTATTTGATTCCTATTCAAGACACTTAAGATAAGATAAAAATACAATAAGAATAACTATAGTGTTACTATAAAAATACATTTGTGTTTATTTGATTCCTATTCAAGACACTTTAGATAAGATAAGAATAAAATAAGAATAACTATAGTGTTACTATAAAAATACATTTGTGTTTATTTGATTCCTATTCAAGACACTTTAGATAAGAATAAAATAAGAATAACTATAGTGTTACTATAAAAATACATGTTTGTGTTTATTTGATTCCTATTCAAGACACTTAAGATAAGATAAGAATAAAATAAGAATAACTATAGTGTTACTATAAAAATACATGTTTGTGTTTATTTGATTCCTATTCAAGACACTTAAGATAAGATAAGAATAACTATAGTGTTACTATAGGCGGATACAGATTTGTTTTACATTTTTGGTTGGTGGTGATTCAATGAAAAAATGTACCTTGGCTCAAAAAAGGTTGAAAAACACTGCTCTATACCAGTGTTTTTCAACCACTGTGCCTCGGTACACTAGTGTGCTGTAGAAAATCATCCTATTTCACTTGATTGGCTTAAAAAAAAAATTTGATAAGTAATTAATTTTCTGCAAAAAATGTGCCATTTCTGAGTGTGTGTGCTGTTCTAGTGACTGGTGGCGTAATCATGTAATAATTCATTATGACTAGATTTTGTATATAATTTTGTATATTGAAGTGGACATGTTAAGTACAATTTGAAAGAAGAAATATAAAATATGATAAAAATACATTTTTGTGTTTATTTGATTCCTACTCAAAACACTTAAGAATGAAATAAGAATAACTATAGTGTTACTATAGGCGGATACAGATCTGTTTGACATTTTTGGTTGGTGGTGATTTTTTCCTCGTGATTTTTTCAATGAAAAAATGTACCTTGGCTCAAAAAATGTTAAAAAACACTGCTGTATCCATTACTAAAGCTGTTCTCCTCTGTTTCCCCCAGACTCCTTGTCCCGGTGGCGTGTGGAGGGCCGGGTGGCGGCGTGGCTGCGGGTCCCCGTCTCTCTGAGTCGCTGTGCGGCCGCGGCCGCTCTGCACGGGTTCAGCTTCCACCACGCCCGGGGGGGCGGGGCCACCATGGCCCTCTGGATGGGGGGCGGGGCCAGCCGGCTGCCCGGGTACGCCACGCACCAGGTCGGAGTCGCAGGTACTGAACACACGTCTTAGGAAGCCTTGAAAGAATTAATTTTTAGATCCTGTTAAAGTTCATGTTTATCCTGTGTTTTTTAGCACGCCAACAAACAACATTCACAACACTTTGTTACTACACTATACGATCACGTGAACAGGAAGCTGGCATGTTTACGTTAGAGTTAAATGGCCAATTACAATTCGGTGCTGCGAAGACCAGTTTTGCATTGTAGGGGGCGGAGCTTAGCCCAAGAAGATAAATGTACCTGATTGACGACTAATCGGCACTTTTTGGTGGGATCGAGTCTTGAGACAACATTCAGAGAGTCCAGCGCTGTGATATCCTACTTGTGGCCGGAATAAATTCCATTCATTGCTAAAGATCTCTTCAGTTAAATTTTCCAAGTTTCCATAAGGACCGGGAGGAATTAAGGTTAAAAACCTTAACAGCCTCTAAGACTAAAAGTACATGAGAAGGGACCAAAGAAAGAAGAATACCTCCTGAAGTCCACCTGGGATTCTTAGCCCAATTTTCTTGAATAATTAAATAATAAAATAATATCAAAATAATAATTAAAGAATTAAATACTTAAATAATAAATTATTAATCATAATAATATAATAATAAAATAAATAACAATAAACACACACCTCTTATAAAGCCTCTGAAGGGACCCAAAAAAGAAGAATACCTCCTGAAGTCCACCTGGACTCCTTAGCCCGATTCTTTAGAATAATTGAATAAATTAATAATACATTAAATAATAATTAAATAATTAAACAATTAAATAATAACTTAATAATAATACAATAATAATTAAATAATTAAACAATACATTAATATTGATAATAATAATAATTAAAAAATAAATGATTAAATGCAAAATTAAATAATAAATTAATAATAATACAATAATAACTAAATCAATTAAATATTTTCCCTCTGGGATTATTAAAGTATTTCTGATTCTGATTCTCGAAACCTGAGAATAAACCAGGGTAGATTTAGAGACTGGGGGGGGCAACACACACTTCTTAGGAAGCCTCTGAGACTAAAATAACATGAGAATGGACCAAAAAAAGAAGAATACCTCCTTATGTCCGCCTGGCCTTGTTAGCCCGATTCTTTAGTAGGAAATATGAGAACAAACCAGAGTAGATCAAGAGGATAAAAATTACATTTATTGGACACAGTTAAGTGTATCAGCTGGGCTCTCACAGACAAAAACCTCTCTCTGGGTCTCAGTGGGCAAAGAGCCCTGAGATCTGGGTTTGATGGAAACTTCACTTTTAAATCATTTCCAAACTTCCGACTATGAAAGATAACCAACCACTTGTTTGTCTTTGCTATGTCAGCCTGGAATGAGTTTGCAAATGTGACCACATTCAGGTCAAATGCACTCAGAAACACACACGGTTTGAAGAGCTTTTGTGTGTAATTCCGCCTCCCTCCACTAGGGGGCAGCATACCGCTCCCTCTCCAGAGGGGGAGCATGTCAGAACATGTCCCAGAAAGCCCCTCTGAGCCCCCAGGACGGTTTCCATGACAACTAAACTGATGCAGCTGGGCTTTTGGATGTGAAACACCGTCCATCCATCATCCTAACTCCTTATTTTCCTCTAATGGGAGTTAGGAAAGAGTTAGAAAAAAATTAGAAAGGACCGACTTAGTTTGTTAAATATTGATGTTAAGTAATTAGTCTAAACAACTAATACAGTACATCTAACTAGATTCTTTGAGCTTAAAGATGCAATTAAAGATATTAAATATATATATATATATATATATATATATATATATATACATATATATAAAATATGTAACTCTACATATGAATTTAACTCGTTCCAGGGCCGACTTCGTATGTTAAATCCATCCATCCATCCATCCATTTTCAATACCGCTTATTCCCTCATGGGGCGTATGTTAAATATAAATGTTAAATCATTTGTTTAAGAGCTGATATTTTCTAGTTTATTCCAGTTTATTGTATTATGTAGAAGCTCATAGTGGCTTTTCATAGCGGAGGCTAAGTGTTTGCTAACTACAAGCTGATATTCTCTAATTTATTCCAGTTTATTGCATTATGTACAAGCTCATAGTGGCTTTTCATAGTGGAGGCTAATTGTTTGCTAACTAAGAGCTGATATTCTCTAGTTTATTCCAGTTAATTGCATTATGAAGCAGCTCATAGTGGCTTTTCATAGCGGAGGCTAAGTGTTTGCTAACTAAGAGTTGATATTCTGTAGTTTATTCCAGTTTATTGCATTATGTAGCAGCTCATAGTGGCTTTTCATAGTGGAGGCTAATTGTTTGCTAACTAAGAGCTGATATTCTGTAGTTTATTCCAGTTTATTGCATTATGTAGCAGCTCATAGTGGCTTATAGTAGTGTTTTTTTTACATTAAATGCATGTGCTACTGCTATGGCAACGCTAAAAGCTATTCTGGCTAGCATGTGGACATGGAGGATTATTGCTAATCCCAGATCAAAGCTTCTCTGGACGAGTTAGCTTCTCTGACTCAGGCATCAACACTTTTTTTTCTGCCACACAGCCTTCGTCCATCTGGGCTTTTTCAGGCCTTTCCGGACTCTTTCTTTTCCCCGTTTCCCGGGCTGAGGGCGCCTTAATGATAGCCTCCGCTAGCAGAAACCAGTCCGGATCCATGTGGTGACATCAGTTTCCACTCAGAGGTCCAAGTGGAGCTCTTCACACATCTGTGACACTCGTTTAAAGCCCCACCGGCCCTTTTCCCTCCTCTTCCTGCCTCTCTGACTCACTACCTGCTGGGAAAAAGCTCCAAAAAGGGAGAAAAATGTCACTTTGGCAACTTCGGTTATTTTAAATGTGCTCCATAAATAAAATTTGACTTGACTTGACTTTTTTTAACCGCTTTGTAAAGACTTTTATATTTAATCTCTTTAAAAAACAGTTTGCAAATCCCATCAGTATAGATGATGTTTGAAAGATACTCAAACTCTCTTTTTCCATCTGAATAAGAAGTTGTTGTTTTTTAAAATAACAAAGCACTTCATGTGTTGAGTTTAATTCAGTTATGAAATAAAAGGCGTTTTCAGACATGTGACATCTGTGGGTGTTTCTGCTTAAGTTATTGACACCTGATCAGTCTTTTTATTTTTATTTCCTTATTCTGTGTCAGGTGTTGTGTTGGTATTTAATCTGACGCATTTTAAGAAATCAACTAGTCTGGATGCACATTAAACAGACCAAACGGAGAATATCTGAGCAGATATGTTGCATCAGTGTCTTAAGTTGAGCTGAGTCACTGCCTTCGATTTTAGTTTTTCCACCTAAACTATTTCAGGTCCTTTTTCTGAATGAACTGCTCTTGAGTGGATTTTTTTAAGCTTCATTCATTGGAGTTCTCCGGTGACTTATTTATCAGAAGCTACAAATATTCTGGGTATTTTTAGTTTCTGTGTTTTCTAAATGTTATCTGAGTTAACCCTTTAAAGCCTGATCCAAGAATAAAACAAAAGAGAAAATTACTTTTTTTTTGTTTGAATTCCTTATTTGGCCTTTTAACAAAATATGTAAAAACAAAAAACAAAAAGAAAATTTTAGTATGAATAATTTATTACTATGCGATAAATCAAGATTATTTTTTGTGTTGTCTTCTGCCCCCTGTTATCAGGCGTATCTGATTTGGTAAATTACGATTTTGAGCAAAGTTTTTACCAGTTTTCTTTAAATAACAGATGGAAATGTTTCCACGGGTTTGTGGAGCTGATTATCTGAATGTTTTTTCTATCCAGGTGCCGTCGTGGATGAGTCCAACGGGAAAGTCCTGGTCGTCCAAGACAAAAACAAGGTAAACGCACCACTAAAACTGCCTGAATGCCACTCAAATGTTTATTAATTATGATACTGAGAGAAACAGATTAAAAACAGGAAAAGAAAAGATGATGATTTAAAAAAATAAAAGGGTTTTAACTCTGTGTGTTACTATCTCTAAAATGTAGATACACTATAAAAAAAACAAGAAAAGAAGATTGTTTTAAGAGTTTTAAGAGGCTTAAATAATATAATTGGCAGTTTCAGACCATTTCATGTAACTACAGCTAATATATTTCAGTTTTAAATCTTATTCTGACCACAAAAGCAATTTGAAGATTTCCTTTTGGGCCCGAAGTGTTTAAACGTTTTCATTAGTGGGAAATGGGCTCACAATATGTGGATTTTTATAGAGATGATTATTTTTTCAAATGCGCCGTATTGAGGAGAATATAATAAATATAATAAACTCAAACAGCCCATTCTACAATAATAAGCAAATAGATTTTAAGCAGTCAACGAAAGAGTCTTAAGGACTTTTTTCCAGAAGCAGAGGGAAACAGTTAGTGGCCCCAAAGTGGAGGGAGTCTTTTATATTTGCTTTATAGAATATAATAATGACAAAAATAAACTCATAAAGAGCCCATTCTATAATAATAAGCAGATAGATTTTAATCTGGGGGCTCCTGTAACCCTCGGCTGCTCAAAATCTGTGTTTAAAAAAGGGGGGAAATGACCCCAAAATAAACACACAGGCTTCACTCAAGTTATTTTATCTGTTAATAAAGAGAAGAGTAGTCAATAAAAGAGTCTTAGGAGGGCAGATTTAATGTCAGAAATCAGGGAGGACGTTTCTCCAGAAGCAGAGGGAAGCAGTTAGTGGCCTGGAAGTGGAGGGACTCTTTTATCTTTTATTCCGGCTCCTCCCCTTCCAGCTATTTACTGGAAATGAGCTTTTAAGAGCCCGGCCAGTTTAGATGAGGGATTCTGAACTTTTCTGAACCGAAACCAAGATGCTACCACTCCCAGATCCCCTCTGGACTGAGACTTCATTCCTGAGTTTCCAGCTAAATGTAGTCATCATTTCCAGGTAGATTTCACAACAGACATTATTCCTCAGGCCTCTGAAGGGAAAAAGTCCCTTTAACCAGCAGAAAAACAACAAACACGACCTTTAGAGTTGCACAGAATCGTTTTAATTTCCAAAAATATTCAACTTCTTCAACTTTACATGGAAATAAAAGCCGTAGTGCATTTGTGTTTCCTCAAAGACAAAAAACAGCGTCTATCTTTTACATTTGTTAAACTATAAAAATATATTTACACTCAGACGTCATAATTTAACCAGCAGCATATTGTCGTTGAACAACAATAAGTGGTGAACCAGTATTGTTTCCCTCACTTCAGAATGAGGCGTTCAACCTTTTTTCTTCCCGTGGGAATATTGGATGCTGTTGCAGTGTGTGTGTGATGGATTTTGTGTACAGTAGCATCACAACCCTCGTTAAAAAAACTACTTTTTTCTGGGTTTTCAGACGAAGAACGCCTGGAAGTTCCCGGGTGGTTTGTCCGATCCGGGAGAAAACATCGGTCAGTAGAGCAAAAACAGCTAATACAGTACATCTAACTAGTTTTTTTTAGCTTAAAGATGCATTTAAAGATCTTACATTCATGTTTTACTGTACAAAGAAAGGCATATCATGAATACACATGTTCTGGTTCTCCTAATTCACCTGTTTGTAAATGTTAAAGCAGCTAGAAATACATATATGCTCCAACCCAAAAGCAGCATCAAACTTTTATTACTACATATAAAAATATCTATATATATATATTTATACTGTGTATATATATTTATCAGTAGAACCTTTACATATGAATTTAACTCGTTCCATAACCAACTTCATATGTTAAATATAAATGTTTAATCATTTGTTTAATTCGTTCCACAGCCCAAAAACCTACAATAATTTCTTAATAAATACTGCAGATAATTACACATAACAATAAAACAAATTAGTTATATAAGAGAGATTTAAAAAGAAATAATTCGTAAGTTTAGGCATCAGAAGTAGAGGTTCTACTTTATATATTTATATATATATATTTAAAGGAGCAGAGATGGTTTTCTGCAAGTCCGTCTGGCTGCAGACTGCAGGAACAAGGATGGATATCCGACTCCGCCCACATCCAAGTCGGCCATTTTGATTAGGTCACCAATAGGAAGATCCCAGGCAGGAAAATCCTAATTGCCTCATGGCAATATAGACATTAATTTAAAGATAGATGAAAGATTAAATTAATCTTGCAAACACTGAATTAAACTCTATTAGGGAGTTAGGGTTAGGGTTAGGTCTAAGGTTAGGATTATGGTCAGGGTTAGGTTTAGGGTCAGGGTTAGACTAGGGTCAGGGTCAGGGTTAGGATTATTGTCAGGGTTAGGGTCACATTTACGGTCACTTTTAGAGTCAGGTTTAAGGTTAGGACATTGTTAATTTTCTAATTTCGTATAGACAGTAAACTTTCGTTTCTGCCTGAGAAAGCTACTAGTCACATGACCTAATCGAAATAGCCAACTCTTATTTTGGAGGAGTCGGACATCCATCCTTGGCTTCCTACAGGCTGCAGCCAGAGGTCACATGACCTCCAGAGGCTGCTCTGTTTCTGGTTGTCTGAGTCCTGTTGATGACTCCTGACCCCTTGCTGATTTTGCAGGTTTGCCCACTTACAAAGAATGCAACGATCTATAACTTTAATCATATGTACATTCTAACAGTGAGAGACAGAATCCCAAAGAAAATTCCAGAAAATCACATCATATGAATTTATAAAAATTGATAACCATCTGATGAGGAAAAATAAGCATTCTTTGTAAGTGGTCAAACCTGCAAAATCAGCAAGGGCTCAAATACTTATTTC